TAAATAAACAAACAAACAAACAAACAAACAAACTGTCCTTGAGAGCTATGTTGCACTGATTTAACAGGCATAATTAGGTACTGAATTAACCAATTTTCTGGCATTATTGAAATAAGAATTAACCAAACACTATGAGTTTCCACAACATGCTAACCCACAAGGACAACCTACCAGAATGATTATTCCACAAGCCTAACGTGATGTTCAAATATACTAGAACCACTAGAATTGGGGAGATAAGTTTTGGAATGTCTATGGAGATTCTCAGCCATCCAGGTCATGGTTGTTCCAAGGTGCTTTTTCAAGAGGCAGCTGGACTTTCTTGTTTTTCTTCAAAAACATTTCACTTCTCATCAAAGAAGCTTCTTCAGCTCTGACTGGATGGAGGGGAATGGAAGGATTTATATCAGGGGTGAAATCAACTTACCTTCACTACTGGTTCGCAAATGTGAGCATGAACACAGAACCTTCCATGCATGCGCAGAGTGTCAAAAATGGGACATGATGTCGTCTGGGTGGGTGGGTGGAGCCTCCCATCACCACCGTTACTGGTTCATCTGAACCGGATAGACCTGGCTGAATAGAACCACTAATTTATATTCCCTGGAGACAGTTGGTCATTTACATACTTTTAGAGAGTCATTGAGGCCACTTGGAGGTTTATCTGTGTCCTCGGGGTCACAAATAGTACAAATGGGTGTTGGAACTGCTGAAAAGATTGTGTTGTAGACTGGAAAGAAATATTGTCATATCCTCCCCCCCCTCTGTTGAGAGAAGGCTGTTCAGTTTTGACATAGATGGCCTCTTTGACCCCTCTTTCAAACAAGCAGTCCTCTCTGTCCAAAATGTGGTCTTTGTTATCTTCAAAGGAGCGGCCTTTGTCTTTTAAATGCAGATGGACTGCTGAGTCTTGTCCTGATGGATTTGTTCTCCTTTCAGCAGTTCCAAGAAAGTGCTACACCCATTTGCATCACTTAGGTGACCCTGAGGACACAGACAAACCTCCAAGCAGCCTCAATGAATAGAACCACCAATCAAAAGCATGCAAATGACCAGCTGTCTGCAAGGAATATAAATCCTTCAATTCCAACCATCCAGTCAGAACTGAAGAAGCTTATTGGATGAGAAACAAAACGTCTTCAAAGAAAAACAAAAAAAAAGTCCAGTTGCCTCTTGGAAAAAGCACCTTTGGGATAAGTTATGGAATGCACTGGAATTAAGATTTTTTTTTGATGTTACTCTGGCATTGTGGACTTGTGCCTGTTTTATATGTTTTTCCTCTGTAGTTTTCACCTGTTATCTGCCTCAAAATAGCTCGAAACTGCACCATTTATTTTTCAGCAGTTGCGGAAGATTCAGGACTACCAAAAAAATGAATCTTATTGCCTACTCTGGTATACCAAAAATCAGGGGGGATATGCCCCCCCCCCCACAAAAAGCTTGCACATTAATCAATAAAATTAAGCAATCT